CGGCGCGTTCCCGCAGCGGCCGCCAACTCCCGGCCGGGGCCCCGCAGCCGGCCGGATGCTAACCCCGCCGAACCAGCTCCGGACGCCGCCCGCTAAGTTGGAGCCCCAGCCCCTGGCGGCCCAGGAAGAGCTAATGGCTAAAGGCCGAGGCAGGGCGGCCGCGAGCCGAGCGAACGGGGCGAGAGTCCCCCGCCGGCCCAGGCTTCCCCCAGGTTTGTTTGAAAGTGACTAGAAGCAACGATCGCCCCTTTCTCTCCCCGGACTATTGTTGCATTTCGCGTCTAACTGGGTTCTCTCACACCCCCAAGCGCCAAGAGGAGGAGGGGGAGCGGGCTTGGGAAAAGAAATAAAGCGAGCTCAGATCAGATGGAGGAAAAAAAAAAAAAAAAAAACCAGCAAGGAAAAAGAGACACTTAAAGGGAAAGAGTCGCCATGTTTAGCAGCTTTTTTTAAAGATCTCGTCAATTTCACACAGAACGCACTAGCTGGGTCCCAGCCCTCCTCTTTTGTCCAATTCAGTCGCAGCAAAGATCTTTTGTTCTAACTCAGCGTGAACAGAAAAACTTTCTTTAAATGCAATAAACTTAAACCGAACTCAAGACTCTAAACAGATCCTCCTCCGGCCACTCTAAACATATACAAGGGGTTTTGTTTTAACCGGTTGAAAAATTGTCTTGTTTTTTTTTTTTGGCCTCGCAGACCCCAAGCTCATTGTTGAAACTTAGTGAGAGATTTTCAACGCCTAGAATACATCCTTAAAGCGTAATAAAACAGGGACTGTCTTTTGCTTTGAAAATCATAAATTATAATTTAATGCCAATAATAATTTACAACAATGGCTGTTTACAATAAACTAACACAAAACAAACAAGGAAAGGGCCTGTGTTTTACTTATAAGGAAAATTTCACACACTCACATGGATAGCACTTGCAAGAGGAGAAAATAAACAACTGAGAAAACCTCCATCTAAAGGTCAGAGATACTGTGCCATAAGAACATACTTATATTCATAGATGTGTGTCTCTACAGAGAGAAGCGGACAGGCAGAGAGAGAACTCTGCTCGAATGCTCACATCCGATTTTTCTGGTCTGCATGTATTGACTAGAACTGAGTGTCAAAGTTGAATACACTTTACAAAATGATTCCTTTTCTTTCACCTCCTCACCAGTATCCCCTCCCAATTTCCAGATAAAATCACAACACGGTAAAGTATATTCGAGGGAAGGCAGCTTGAAAAGTCTAAATAAGAACAAACTGCAGGCTCCCAGCACCAGGAAAAAAGAAGAGGTGGGGGGGGGACCTTAAACAAATAGTTACTACTTCCAAATCAGCACACCCTGTAAAGTTTTCTTCCTTCTTGTTCTTTCCCCCACCCCTTTTTCTTAATTTGACGTCTAAGGACAAAGGATCCCGGAGCAGCACAGATTGTGTCTACACAATCTGAAATGTCCAAATGTCGATGTGTTTTTATGTACATAACTCCAATGGAGAAGATTCCCTTGACCTGTGGTCAGGCTCTCACAGACTGAGGGAAGGGAGGGGGGAGGCGGCCCAACTGCAAGTTATCATATATACATTAAAAGCAGACCCTTCAGCGCTATAAGCTATGCCACTGAATTTGAAATCCTCTCAACCACCATGCTAGATGAGAACCACAGACTATTTTTCAAAAATCACACCTACTTAAGGAAAAACTCCTTGCAAACAACTGCCCTCTATATACAATGCTGTGATTAGCTTGCTTGAATGATCTTCTGCATAACTGTCAGAAATGTACAAAAGAGTATTTTTCCTGATCATAAAATAGATACTGATCTCAAGATTTCTAATACTTTTCACAATACCTTTCCTAAGCAGGCACTTAAGTGTGACAAATATAAGGGCCTTTTTTTTTTTTTTTTTCCTGGAAAATCCATTTTTAATTAAAAGGAGGATTAGGTGAATGGGGGAGGCTTACTATATCAGTATGGCACTTCCTAAACCATAGATAAAACATTAACTTCAGCTGCCCCCCCCAACACACCCAAATTAAACAGGCAAATATTCTAGTCCACCTTTGAACAAACTCAGTGGGGGCAGCAAACAAATGAGACCCCCACCCCCAGCCGGCTCAGGCCCCTCCAGAGCTCACAGGGGCTCTTCTCCATGGACAGACAGTGAGTGGGGACCGCCAAACAGGTTTCAGATATCAAATAATATTTTAATTTCTGAATACTTTCAATTTTCCTTGAATATAACACACAAAGACTCGACCAAACAGTTCAGTTATTATAACTTTTACAGTATACAGAAATGTTGCACTTAAAAAAAAACCTTCAGTTTTTTAAAACACAAACTGTAAACTCTAAGATACTGAATCAATCACGTTACCTATAAGTGCCAACAGTGTCATTTTGTCATGCTGATTTCAATGGTATTTTTTAAAAAGGGAAAATATCAACAATTATAATACAAAGGGCTGGCAAATATACAAACAGATATAGGATTCTTTTTTTGTAACAATTCAAGAACTAAGCGGGAACCCAATTCAAATTACAAAAGTTCACTTTTTATTCAAAACCTCAGCATGTGTCTTGGACACATTCCTTGGCTGCCAATAAATTCCACAGTTCATTCTCTTTCTTAAAATATTTTTAAAAAGCTAGGTTTGCCGCGGTGTCTTTTGGGGGCAAGGGGAGGGTAGGGGAAGTTAAGTGTTGTATGTGGTTCCTCCCATTTTCTAATTAGCGTGCTCAACTTCACCTAAATTTTTTGGTCACCACTTGTAAGTGCGTTTCCATCATCTCTGAGTTGCTTTTTAAAGTTTTATGTCTTCCTATGATATTTTCATGGACTCAGTTTTAATTCTTGCAGAACATATATTTTAATGATACACAGTTTTTAAGAAGCCAAGATTATATCAAAACTTATTATAGAACCACAGAATAAACTGGTTTGGAACCAGAAAAGCACAAAAAAGAACAGCTAGAGGTACATAGACACAGGACAATTAATAATTTGGAAAAAAAAAGACTTACTTTCTCCATTCTGCTAATTTTCTCCCAATCTCCTTAAATGCACTTTTAGCAATATTTTTCAAAAATTTACCAAAAAAGAAAAAGACTAATTTCCTTTTTATACAAAAATGATAAGTAGCAAGTTTTTCTGACCAACACAGGAGTTTTTTTTTTAATGCATTCTGTAAAAGTTCATTTGACAGTCTCTTTTTTGAAATTCACAGTCCGTTAAATTCTTCCCCTCTCTTCTTTTAGCAAACGTGTAACATCCTTTTATATCCTTTCTTAACAGAAGGAAATTAAGCAAACAAACCAGTCTTTTGCCTTTTCTTTCTCTGTTTCACTCCCCCTTATTATTTTGATTTATTTATTTATTGAATTGCCATATATGGCCAGTTAAAACTGCTGCCGGACAGTAACATATCCCGGATGAGGGTTTCGATGGGGGTTTTACCTACCAAACGGACGAAAAACAATTGCTCTATGACTGAGGAGGACACGGTGCGGAGGGAAGGCAGGCGAAGCAAAAGCTTTCCGAATCGTGTTGGCTGGTTGGGGTACTGGCTCCTAACGTACTCCTCCAAAGCACATTGGGACTTTTCCTGCAAGCTTTCCACATGGGCTACATCAGACAGACCACAGGCATCTGGAAGAAAGTTAAAAAAGAGAGAGAGAAGAAGAAGAAAAAGAAGAAGAATTCAGTCATCAGATTAAGAGGTTTGAAGTGGTCACATGAGGTGTGTCACAGTGCTCTGTCAAACTCAGATTTGGGGCAAATGCCTATGCAGTGAAAACCGGGGGGCAGCGGGGAGAGAAAGCATGAGATGGTCCTGGAGTGTTTGCTTTAAAATAAAACACAGTTCACTGTGCTCACGCTCTCCCTGCCTTGTCCTCAGGATGGATCGCTGGGAGGCTCAAGCAGAAGTGCATTGGGTGAATCTGGCCCAAGTCAGTACTCAGACAGACAAACAGACGAAACCCAAACTGCCAGCACTCCTGCCCCTCATCCTAGGTAAATAATAGTTCGGATTATAATTATATAGTGCTTGTGGGGAGGTGGGGGACAACCTGGCCCAGGCCTGAGTAATGGCGTCCACAACCCAGCCTCAGATTCTTCCCAAAGAGGGCAACTCATTTTTCTCCGGTCTTTGAAACTGATTTAAGTGGCCCTTTAAAACTGATCTTGTCAGTTTAGCCTATTGAAGGGCAGCCATGCAAACTGTGATCTCTCTGTTCATTTGAGCTGTTTCTTTCCCCCCTTTTCTTCTCTCTCCCTTTCTCTCCCCTCTCCTTTATTTATTTATTTTTTTAAACCCAGCTCCCTCCAAGAAGCACCCCGGTCCCTGTTATCTTCAGGAAAACACTTTTCTTTTTCTGATACGTGAAAATACAATAAGTGCCTTTGAAATGAGAAGCTTCTCAGGGAAGGCGGTTCAGGTAGTGACCTGACCTTTCCAGGCTCCCCAGACAAGACTGGGGTCAACGCATGCATATTGGGAATCATTAAAACAGATATCCCAGAACAGCCGCCAGCGCCTCCTCCCCTGGAACCAGCCAACCTCCTCCAATCCAGGTCTAGGACTCTACATGTCTGCAGCATGCATAGGTGTCTGTGGTGAGGAATTTCAGGATGTTTGTCTAGGACTCCCTCTGCTTCTGCTCTGTGAGGTTCCTTCTGAATCAGATAACAGCCACCTTTATCTCTTTGTGAGGCGATCTGCATTCTCCACACAGGCCTCCACATTTTGCAAACAGTAATAAATTAAACTGTATCAGTCATTTCTTTCCTTGCGAGACCAAGGGTAAGGCAAAGAACTAACAATGATATCAAGAAATTAACAACCACTCCCATTCTCTGAGAACTGGGGCCCGTGTCCTCAGGACATGGGCTGGGTGTCAGGTTATGGGGAGATGGAAAGGTGGCTGTAGGGTAGGGGGACTGTCTGGCTTCTACCTTAGCACCAGACACATAATCGAGATATGACAGGCTCATGAGGAGAATAGTGTGGGACCTCAGCCTCACAGCTCTTCCCTGTCCAGAGGCTGCCCTCTAACTGATTACTAATGACTTCCAAAGGCTGGATTTGGGGTGGCTGTGGGGCGGGGGGATTTCATGTGAATGGCAGCACTGTATAAAAGACAGTTGAGGACTCAGAACCTGCAATAGATTCAGCTAATGACTTGATTCCCCAGACTTCTTTCAAACAATGAGGGAGAAATTGTGGGTGTCTTTTTCTGTGTGTCACCTCACCTATACATCTTTTCTACTTTCCTGATCACAAGTTTAAATACCTGCAGTGGGTGACTAGGCTGCAAGCCATGCCAATGTCCAAATGTTTGTTATTCTTAGTCCCCTCTCAGCCATGACAAAGGGATCAGCTGACAACTTAGTACAAGAATGTGAAGGGAGGGGGTAACTTCCACCCACCTGGGCTCTGCTGAGCTGAGCCTGGAGGCAGCCAAAAGGCTCAGGTGTGGCCCAAATGGAAAGCCAGACACTTTCAAAAATCATTTGGCCTCAAGAGTTAATTAATATCAGATCTATTACTCACACAGGTTAAACTACATGCAAACTAATTAGATTTCATAATACAGTCAATGATGGTTTTATATCTCCAGGAACATTCATACCCAGCTCAAGTTGGCATACACTTTAGACTGTTTGAAAGTTGCCTTAAGTTTTTGTCTGGGCGGGGGAAGCAAGTGGCTGGAGTCTACAACCCCTGCACACACTCTGAGCTTACGATGGTGCCTTCGCTCTCTTGCCCCTATCTGACAGCTCTTTTCCCTTCTCCGAGGGGTCTGCACTACTTTAATAAGAGTATGAGTTAGGAGATTGCTTCCCTCAGGGTGGATCTGCCTGCATCTCAAACTCCTCTGAGTTATAAGGGAAACTCGTCCCCTGCAGGGGCAAACTTTCTCCTGCAGGGAAGATGCCAGGGCTTCTCCTGTGCCCAAGAGCATCTCTTAGAGGCCCAGCCAGCATGCCAGAGAAAGCCAGGGCCTTGAGGGGGTTCCCTGGAGGCCAAGCAGGCCCAAAGGGCTGGGGCTCAGGAAGAAAGCAGGACAGTGCACCCAGTTTGGGCACTGCAGAGGAGGAAGAGGCCTGAGAGGCTGCCCTGTGTGCCACTTTGGGGGCATGTGTCTCAGCATCTTTGCAGCAAGCCAGCCTTTGGCCAGGCCAAGCCTGGTGGTGCCCAGCAGCTCCACAGAATTCCCACTTCGAACTGTGTCCACGGTTTGGCCTTTCCAGGAGGAAAAGGCTGGGTCTGCCCTGGCGTGTCTCAACCTCTCTGGGTCCTAACTCTGCAGCAGGGCACCAGAGGGCAGGGCTTCTTCCTACCTGAGGTGAACAGGACTATGGCCTTGAGGCAGCTGTACTCGGCAGAGTCGACATGCAGCGCTTTGAGCTTCTCCACTTGCTCTTGGAAGATCCGTATGTGGTCCATAAAGGCGACCACCCGGTCGGCGGACATGGGCGAAGCATGCAGGCCAGCAGCGGCCAGGAGCGGGGCGACGTGGAGGGGCATGGAGCACTGCGCTGCATTCAACACGAACAGCTCGCTCCAGGTGAGGCGAAGCAGGGCCACCTGGTCCGTGATCTGCAGGTCAGGGAAGAAAGGGATGTTCCGGGCCCACTCGACGGCGCTGAAGAGCATCCGCGCTGCCAGTTCGCAAATGTTCTCGATGCCCATGATGTTGTTGGGCTGCATGCACTGGCTGCCGAAGCGGGACGTGGGGTAGGGTTCGGCGCGCAGCAGGAGGGAAATATATCCGGACAGGTAGGAGTGGCAGTTGAGAGGGTCCCCGTTGGTCAGCGCGAACTGCCCGTGGGTCGGCTGGGTGGGTGGCATTCTGCCCCTCTGCACCGCTAGGGAGGAAAAGAGACACTCAACAGTTAATGCTTAGCCTGGATCCCCAGGTCCCCCGCGGGGTCTGCCCTAGCCCGACCCCCACCTGCCCCAGGGCCTGCGCCACAGCACAGCCAGGCAGGCCTGCCACAGACCTGGAAGTCGCCGGTTGCCCGGCCACCAGTCCTCTGAAATCACCACCCAGGCAGGCTCTGATGGCCAGGCCAGTACACTTGCCTCCGAGGCCCGCTCGGGCTGGTCGGCCAAGGACCCAGAATTGGCCACTTTGCCTGGGGGGTCCCCGGAGCTGTGGGCGGGATGTAGCATTCTGGGGGCATCTTTCTTCTTTACTGCTAAACAGCTGATATTTCTTATTGATTGGAGGAGAGGGAGCGGGAGGGGCGAGTCTAGGAGGAGGGTGAGACGCTTTTGCAAGACACAAGGGTTTACCCCAGACGGCCTGTAACCACCCCGCAGCTACTCTCCCCAAGCCCCCCAGCCCCAGCCGCCGCCCCAGTCCGACCCGGAGCTCCCCGGCGAGAGACGAGGAAAGAGTCGAGGTCTGGCGTCTGCCTAATCAGTGAGCTTGGAGAGAGACGCAGGGAGAGGGCGGAGAGAGGGAGGCCGGCTAAGGCGAAAGGCAGCCGGGGAGAGGCAGGGAGCAGGCGCCGGCCGCCGGGGCATCCGGGCCAAGGCCCGTGAGGGCCGGGGAAAGCCGGCTAGGCTCGGGCTGGCGCTGTTATCTGACTCCGGACCGAGAGAGTCGCTCTAGCAGTAACACAAAGAAACCCCGGCGTTGGCTCGCCCCAAGCCGGAGCCCGCGCCCCGCGCGCAGCGCGCCATTGGCAGAGCACTGCTCGCGACGCTGGGCGAATTTTATATCACAAAGACCCAACTCGCGCAGAGCGAAAGCGGCAGCCCAAGGCCCCTCGCCCACCCTTTCCTACTCCCTATAGCGCTCTCCCGGTTTCAAAAGTGAAAGGAAAGAGAAAAGAAAACAGAGATATTTCTTTTAGCAGAATGTTAATCCACGGAGGGTCACATGAGCGCTGCCCGGGCGGCAGCGTTAATACGGCGAAGTGCATAAAATTGCCATTTGTAATTTGAACCCCCCGTACAAAAGTACAATCTCAGGTTGGTTTTTCTTTTTGAGGGGTTGGGGGTTGGGGAGAGGGGTGGGGAGGAGGGACATATGTTGAACATGCAGGAAAAACAAGGGGAGAGAGCGAGCGAGCGAGCAAGAGAGCAGGCTTTAAAACAACAACATCCCATCCCTTGAAGAAAGGTGAACTCGAATGAACTCTCAGTCAATGCAAAGAAAAGGAAAACAGCTCGAAGAGAGAAGGAAATCAGTCCGCCAAAGCATGCGGATTTGGAGCCCTGGGTTCCAGGGCAGAACTCCTTCTAGTATAAAACCCCTTTCGGCTGCAATGCGAAGAGCAGAGCTGGGGCTGCTTGTCTGCACCCAGAGCAGGCTAGCCAAACGCACCCAGGGCCCCGAGACCCCGGGCGAAAGGGGGAGAAAGGAGAGGCCGATACCTTCCCGTCTCATGCCCACTTTGAGGCACTTTTTGAGGCGGCAGTACTGGCACTGGTTGCGGTGGTGCTGGTCGATGGGACAGTTCCGGTTGGCGCGGCACGTGTAGCTCAGGTTCCTCCGCACGCTGCGCTTGAAGAAGCTCTTGCAACCCTCGCACGTGAACTGGCCGTAGTGCTTGCCGCTTGACTTGTCCCCGCACACCACGCACTCGATGTGCTGCTGTTGTTGCTGTTTGTCGCCGCCGGGGCCACCAGGGCCGCCCTGGCCGCCAGCTGCTGTCTGGGCCGGCGTGCTGGCCGGGCCCCCTTGGCCCGGCGTTTGTGGCGTGTGCGGGGCGCCAGGCGGCGGGCCGGGCACGGGCGGCGCCTGCGAGGCCTGGCTGCCCTGAGAGCCGGGCACCTCGTCCTGGGGGTCGCGCCACGTGCTGACTACCATTGCCATATCTATGGGGGCCGCGTCCGGACTTCCTGCTCCCCTGGCTGCGGGCGGCGGCGGGGCGGCGGCGGCTCCCGGGTCTCGGGCTCCGGCGCGCCGCCTTTTGTGTGTGCGAGGGTGCGGGAGGGCGCGGGAGGGCGCCCCGGGTGGCTCAGGGCTAGTTGATTGAGGTTGGTTAGTTTTTCCTTTTTTGTTTTTGCTTTTGCAAAGTTTTGTCGATGGCTTGTCTGGCCCGGTGTGTTTGTTTTGTTTGTTTCCCTCGGCTCAGCTTTGTTGGTTTCGGGGGGCTTTCCGTTGGGAGGGGAGGGGAAGGGGACAGGGGAGAGAGCGAGTGGGAGCAGAACGTGGGGAGAGAGAGAGGGAGGGGAGGGAGAGCTGCAAGTCGATTGTCTGGCTTCAAGACAGAAGTAGGAGGCAAAAAAATCTCCAAAGATCTCGCTCGCTCTCACTCACTCCCTCCCTCTCCTTCACTCTCTCGCTCTCAGATCTGATGTGCAGCCGAGGAGTTGAAAGAGGAGGAGGAGAAGGAGGAGGAGGAGGAGAAGGAGGAGGAAGAGGAGAAGGAGGAGGAAGAGGAGGAGGAGGAGAAGGAGGAGGAGGAGGAGAGGCGACTGTCCGGGGGCCAAGTCCAGGGCAGCCCACAGTCAGCCATTCAGGAAAGCCATCGAAATCTGGAGGACTGGGAGAGCCGAGGCGCCGGGCGCGGGCGCACCCAGGGAGCCAGGCAGGCCGGGGCGGAGGCCGGCGGCCCGCGGAGTGGCC